TGCCTGGTACAGGGAAACTAACAAATGTTTTTTATGCATCATTGCAACATTGTAATCCTGATAATTTAAGTATACCAAACTATGAGTAAATGAATGATACATGCCTAAAAATTATCATGGTTTATACTATCAGTGGCCACTGGACTTAGGACTAGTCCAAGACCTTGATCTAGATTTTGACCTAGACCTAGACTGTGATCTTGACTGAGATTTGGATCTAGGTGGTTCTTTTTTCCTTGATTCCTTTTCGTATCTTGAGCCAGACTTATAATGTGTTTTGGAATCTGTTTTAGAGGTGCCTCTAGTTTTGGTGTGAGATGCAGACCTAGAACGTGATTTAGCCTTCATTTCTTTCTTGGGCTGGGACTTGGACCGTGATCTTGAATTGGATTTAGATCTTGAAAAAGATCGATTTCGGTGTTTGAATCTATCATTGTCGGAATGGCTTCTGCTACGTCGTGGTCTTCCAGTCGGTCTACTGTTTCTAGGACTATAAGATCTTCTATAGTTGTAATCGAAAGACCGACTTCTTGATCGCCTCCTTTCATAGCTCCGGCTCCTAGAACGTCTATATCTGTCATAATCATCGTAACGTGAAGAACTGTACACATTCCTTCCTTCCTTGGCTTTCATTTGATTTGGTGTCTTCTGATCCCCCTGTGCAAACTGTATCTCGATCTGACGTCCACAAATCCATTTTCTGTCCAAATTATGTAAAGCATCTTCAGCATCACGAACATCCTCAAGTTGAACATAAGCAAATCCTCTTGGACGTCGCGTGTAGAAATCAAGTGGAACATAGACATCAACTATTGGACCATAGCGGCCAAATTCACGCCGTAAATCTTCAGACCTAGTGTCGTCGGCCACATTCCTGACCAACAGAGACACGTTAGGGGGGCACAGGTAGCGGGACATGACGGCGGCGTCAGTCTCGATGCGGAGCACCAACGGGCTCAGCAAACCATCCGCGACTGCAGCGGCAGCACCTCCAATATTTTTATTTTTAACACTCACTAAAAAAATCCCCAAAACTGGATCTTGAAGGATAGTTAGGACACACTGAGAAGACGGGGAAGAAAAATCCAGGCAGTGGGGGCCAACATCTACAGGGGCCCAGAGGGACAAGTGATCAGCCAGGTTGAAAAACTGGGTGGTTTGTGTGGCTGGGAAGGGTGTTGTTGGAGAGGGAGAGGATTCAGGCTGGATTCAGGGCTGGTTGTGTGTGGGTGCAGCCACGCACCACTTAGGAGTGGAGCTACCTTCCGAAAATGCTACGTGGGGCAGCTTGGTCACTGTGGGAACGCTGGTGTGCTTACACACACTAAGCTGCTGGGCTGCCACGAGATGATGCAATTTTATGCAACCACAGACATAATAGATGTGATTCATTCTAGGCCAAAGCTCTTTACTCAGTGCATGGCTATGACAGAAAATCCAGTGCCAACAAACGTCTTAATGATGGATGCTATTGTTATGCCCAGATGTCCTGAGGATGTGGCACTCATGGGGATACCACAGCTAGGAGAGCCTTTGAGGCAGGGATGTCTTGATGAGTCAGGTGGCAGGTTGGAGACAGGACAGAAGTGATTTGGGGAATCTTGTGGGGACAGACTGGCAAAATCTCTGACTTGTACACATGAGGGGGAAGCAGGGATCATAATAAAAGTTTAGGCTTTTCTTTTAAATCCCTCCTTCAAGGGGTGGTGAGATAGCTCAGGGGACTAACGTGCCTGCTTAGGCAAGCTTAGGCAAGTGCAGGGACCGCAGCTCAATCTGAGGCAGACACCACATTTAGCCAGCCCTCCACCACATGCTGCACCAGCCCCGCCCCAGGGTGGGCTGAGCCGGCTGTAGTGGTGCTCGCCTGTAATCCTGGCCCTGGGGAAGAGGATCACCATGAGTCTGAGCTGCATAGTGGGACCCTGCAACAACCAAATACATTAATAGTAATAATAATAATAATAATAATAATAATGATAATGATAAAAAATCCCTCTTCTGTGCCTCTGTCCTCTGCCCTCCTAAGAGTGCTGTCCTGCAGGCTTCTCTGACAGAAACCCACAGTCACCTTTGACATTCTCTTTTCCTTTGCTGCTCTGCATGAAACTCATCACAGATTCTCACTCCTGACTCTGCAGCACTTGTCCATTCTGGTCACTTTTCCCTGTTACTGCCCTCAGGCTTTAGACAGCTCTTTGCTGGTATGGCGCTGACCAGCCGCTCTCCTGCTCACTTCTGCCCACCGCTCTCTCTGCCCAGATCTCTGCTCTGCAGCCAGATTGATAAACAAAAGCGCCGCAACCACAAATAAACATCCCTCACTCCCAAAATCATACCAGTTGGTTGCTTAACTCCAGAGACTCCTTAGAATCAAGTCCACACTCCTGACCACAGAGTGACCACGGGCTGGAAGGCCCTGCCAGATCTGGCCCTGCAAGTTTAACAGATCTCCAGTGCATTCCCTTCTAGCACCTTCTTTCCACAATGCAAGGAGGCCAAGCTCTTTCCTTAGTGCAGGCTGTGCCTGTAAGACTGGGGCCATTTTTACTTTATTTATTTGTTTGTTGTTTTATCTCTTCTCTTACTCATAGTAAACTATAAGCTCCCTGGTATGGGAGACATTGCCTACCATAGTCAATGTCCAATGCCTAGTACTTACTACAGTTCCTGACACAGTAAATTAAAGATGTGTGTGCACGTGCATGTGTGTACGTGTGTGTACTGGTTAACAAAATGCCTCCTAGTTCTATTGGCAGGACAGGGACTTACAGAGGGGTAAGTAGTGATATACAGGATTAGTGGCAATCAGGTGGGATATTTGGTAGGTAAGCCACGGGGCATTCTCTCAGCTCTTGTGGCACTTCCTGATCCCTTAGTGCTTTATGCTGAAATTATTTACAGGTGAAAAGTACTTTCACAAACATTGCCCCTTTAGGCCTCCCTACCATCTTGGGAATTATTAATCTCATTTACTTTTAGATGAAAACCTCAAGTCCAAAGAGTCTTTTCTAAAGCTTATTTAGCTGAAAAAAAAAAATTTTCAATTCAGGGCTGGGGAGCTAGCTCAGCTGTCTAAGCACCTGCCTGGCAAGTACAAGGATTAAAGTTTAAGCCCCAGTATCATGTGCCAGCCCCAGAAGCTGAGGAGCACTGAGCCAGCCATGAAACCAGGCAGGGTGGTGCATGCCTGCAATCCCAGTGCTGGGGAGGCTGAGACAGGAAGATCGCTATGAGTCTGAGATGTGTAGTGAGATCCTGTATTTAATAAATAAAATAAAAATCTCAGTCCAGATTTGAACCTGGATATTCAAATCCGTAGATCTTTGTGTTTTCTTGTGGTCCCACAAGACATAATCCACATCTCCATCTTTACCAGTGGACAAGCAGGATTATGGGTTATGTTGAAAATCATGATCCTTTTGATACTGCCTAAAGTAAATTTAGTTTACAGATGCTTTAAAAAAAGTTATTTTTGTTTTCTTCCTAAGATCTTAAAAACTTTAAGAAAGACAGCAAACGCTTTGAGAAAGGAGAAAGAAAAATATGACTAGCAGGAAGGCTTCGGAAGAAAGAAAGAGGACCAAAGTTAAGACTACTCTTTAAAAGAAAGCCAAAGACTATTCTTAAATTCTTGTGTCTTTGATTTTTTGCAAGGCTGCCATCACCACTAAAAAAGTAGGCAACAAGACAAACTGGCACACAGGCCCAAAGACTGATAATTGATAATGAAGGCAAAAACAGCTTCCTGAGAGGAGGCAGAATAAAGGGCAGGCGAGCCAGAGGGGTGACGAGGGGCAGCATGAGAGACCACCAGTGCCATCCGCAGTAGAGTGGTCCCTGCAGGCCTATCATGTCTTTGTCACTTTTTCTCCTTGCTGTAACATAATACCCAGCACCCACAAGATAAGAGAGGCAAGGTTTATTTAGTCCACAGTTTGTAGAGGTTTCAGTTCATTATTGGCTGGTTTGAGGCAGGGTGGTGTGACAAACAGGCAAGGCAGAGAAAAAACAGCTCCTGGCAGGCAGAAGGCAGGAAATCAAGCAAGCGATAACTGCCGGTCTTTTTAGCCTTTATAGCTTATCCCGGCTACTCAGGGCAGTGCTCACACTCTTAATCCTAGTGTCCTTGATCCTAGCATAGCACCATGGATCAATTTCATCCCACACGGTCTAGGTCCAGCTGAAGAAGCCCCATCTATGACCACATAAGGCCTTAGGGGAACATATGCACATAAGCCATACCACAGCATGTTGTGAGTAGGGGTGAGGAAAAAGAAGGCATTGGACCCTTACTTTTTATTTCTTTTCTTTTTTTCTTTTTTCTTTTTTTTTTCTTTTTCTAATGTGGAATAAGATGCTATTTAATTTTGTTCTTCCATAGCTGATATTTTAATGTGTATGCTTTAATGATTTTTTTCTTTACAAGAAGTTTTGGACAATTTCATCTCTTTATTTCTTGATAGCAGCCATGCAAGGAAATGTTTCAGGGCAAGGAAAGGTAATCTATGGAGTGGGGGGGGGTTGGGTACAGTGGCAACGTGAGTGACATAGGGGTTTTGGACTTAGGCACCTCAGGCATCAAGTCCCAGTCTAACACTGATTAGCTGTGGCTGTCATAGGTACTTCCTTACTGCTAGAACAAAAGTACCTGACATCCACAAATCAAAGGAGGAAAGGTCTATTTTAGCTTACTGTTTGTAGAGGTTTTAGACCATAGTTGGCTGGCTCTAAGGCAGGGCGGCACTACAAAGAGAAACAGCCCATGGCAGGGTAGGCAGGCAGCAGCAAGCAGTGAGCCCTTCTTCTTTCTGCTCCTTTATATTCCACCCAGGTTACAAGACTATTGGTTGGGGATACTAGTGGGTCTCCTGTCTTCAGTAAATCCATTCAGCCACATCCAGAACTGTGCTGACCCAATCATTTGGGTCTGTGTTTCTCTCTCTCTCTCTCTCTCTCTCTCTCTCTCTCTCTCTCTCTCTCTTTCTCTCTCTCTCCTCTTCTGTATTTAGGATACTGGTATCTACAGGGTCTCACTACACAGAACAGACTCGTAGTGATTCTCCTGTTTTCAGCCTCCCAAATACTGGGATTACAGGTGGCGCGCCACCATGCTCAGTCTCCATTGCCAGCTCAGCATGCCCCACGGGTGGGGCCAGCACGGCACACCGGGGATATAACCCCGGCTACTGCACTCTGCCTAAGCAGGCACTTTAGTCCGCTGAGCTATCAGGCTGACCCCTTATTTGGGTGTTTCTTATTCAAGTTGACACAATTAGCTAATTTGGACAATGGCCAAGGTGCTTTACCTCTCTGAGCTTCAGTCTGCTCAATGTAAGCACAGGAATAAGAGTACATATTCTCTGTAGTGCTGTTGTAGGGCTAAAGGTGTTAAAATGTTTAGCTCTATGCCTGACACCTGGCGGCCACCAAATAGCCACAGTTTTTCCTTCATGATTAAAGCAGGGGGTAAAGACTCTAATGACCACTTTCTGATAGACATCTGAGTCTAAATGAGAATTGTGGCCCTCTGTGGCTCTAGACCCGATGGCCAAGTCCTGAGGAAGCTGTAAGCGAGCTGTTGCCTCCCCTGTCTCTGGGCTGGGTGGCTCCACTAAGGGGGGCTTCGGGGTGGGTTTCATTGGTGAGGGAGCTGACTGGGTTGTAACTGGATACGTTTTTATTTGCAGATCTCTGTGTGCAGTAACTTGCCACATTTGCTTTTTAAAAATGCCTTAATGGGCTGCCATAGTAGAAAGAAAAAAAAAATCTTTCATTTGTATGTGTGTGTCGTCCAAATGATATTTTTAAAGATTTATTTTTGTGTGTTCACGATGTTCTTGAATAATGTTTCCATAATTACGGTCAAAGATAAAACTCGCACAGTGCACAAAATCTGGTCATGCATATTTTAGAGTGTGATTGTCTTTTGACCAGCCCTGGGATCTATTTGCCAAGTTTTCTGCTGCCTTGTGTTTCCTGA